TTTTTAGTGTACAAGTAATCATACGATGGGATGATTAAACATTTTATTTATTCAGTTTCACGGTCGTAATGGCCCTCCGAGGGAAGATGTAACTCCAAAGTGGCCTGCGACAAAAATTTGTTTCATACCCCTGGTTTAGGCAAATTAGAGATTGGCAGTGGCACCAGTTGTCGGGGTTAGTCACAGTCACAGGCTGCATAGTGCATACTGACCAACAGACTGGGACAGGCTTGGAGTGCCTCCACCACACCAGGTATACTGAACGCCTCGTAGCCTCGGACTCGTCTCCTCTCGAGGTATCGGGGGTGGAGGCCATATAGCTGCTCCAGGTCAGGCATCTTCTTCAAAAGGAGCAAGAAACTGCTATCTGTAAAACCTGAGGCAAATAAAGACAATTCATGAAAACCTTTTGAATTTTTTTCACGAGCTTCTTGCCCATTTCGTAATACCTACTGCACTTTACTAATGGACAAACTGGTGAAGGTTTTGGGATAAGCAGTTTGAAATATCAGACACACTCAAGATTCTTTGTACATGTTTTTGTGTCGGTTGTGTTTCTGTCCATTTTACAAGCAAAACATACCGTTCAAGGTTCCCCATTCCCAGGACGATATTTTTGAAGATACATTTTCAAAGGTTTTCCACAGTCGCAGCAAGATAGATACTGAAGATTTTTACTCTGCTAAAATCTCCCTAAAGACTCACCCACCGGCATTATTTTGAAGGCAATTTTGATATTGTGAACATTAGATGATGACATCTCAAAATTCCTTACAACTGTACGTTGAGGAACATTGCCTCTAAACTGTTCGACTATTTCCTCACGCAGTTGTTTACAAAGAGGTGACTCTCGCCCCATCTTTACACCCAATCACGGGACACACTTCTTCCCAGTTAGCCTGTTCACCTGTGGGATATTTCAAACAGAGAATTCCTCGGATTTCTTTTTTTTTGCCATCTGTTCCAGATTTTTTGGAACGTGTTGGAGCCAGAAAATTCTAAGTGAATGATTATTTGCTAAAAACAATAGCGTTTGTCAGTTTGAACATGAAATATTTGGTCTTCGTAGTGTATTCAGTGAAATCCTGTATAGGTTGAGCACAATCAGCAAATCACCATATTCTGTTTTATTTCTGATTAACACAAGAGTCCCAACTTCATTTGAATTTGTACTTCCTACTATTCAAACGAACGTTCCTTTTATGACTTGGCATGGAGGGGCTTACCTGAGGGCATATATTCCCACCAGTGACCAGCACAAAGATCCACTACTTTGATCACTCGCAAGTAGAGGGTGACAGCTTCTCTGAGCTTTCTGGACAGACACTCCATGCATATGATGTCCTTCATAGGAAGGTACCTGGAAAACAATTGATTTCTTTTGAATTTAGGGCAAAGATTGAACAAGATCAACAATGACTGGCAATGATTCAATTTACAAACACTTCATAACAAATAACCAAACCGAAAGCTGCTCATCATTCAGCTCACCAAGCACAATCATTGATGATTTTCACTAAGCATGAATTGTTAAATGGGAACACTTTTAATCTCATCCCCGTTTTAACTGAAAAGGAAGCCTACCTGAATATATGACAGAGAACTTCATGGGACAGTTCATTGATGTAGTCTTTGGGCTCATTTGGCCTCAGAGGCACTTCCCATCCACAGTTGGCCCCTAAGGGTTGAAGTTTCGAGGTCTTCCTCCTGGGACCCATTTCTTCAATGTTTCTGGTAAGTCTCAAAGGCATTTGATTTCCTCCCTTACACAGCCTGAAGATTATTTCTCAGGCAGCATTCCAAGTTCTAACTAGCAAATTAAAGAAGAATACAAAGTTAATGGGTAAAGGTGACAGACGCAGAGACAATAGTGCGCTTATTTTTCCCTATTAAATAATAAACCATTTCAGAAAGTGCTCAGTTTCAGTATAATCGTTTCACGGAATGGATAATAGGATTGGACCTGGCACGACACATGTATTCATGCAGACAGAAGTTGCAAATGCAAAAGAGATCGACAGCTCATTTCCAGCTTCTGTAGGTGTAATGGTCTGCGGTCGTCATACAGTGTATATTTTTCCAGTTGCCACAGGGATTAACGTGGATGCCTTACAGTAAAATTGGGAATGTGCTCTTTGCAAAGGCCTTTCAACAAATGGAATTTTTAAAAATCTGCATTTATTTGTCAAGTACGTTTAGTGTGAATAGATTTATTTGGGCATCAAGTTTGACTAGTTTTCCATCTGCTGTTCTGTTTGTTTTTCCCTCTTTCGGTACCAAGTATTTAATGGTGAACTAATGGTTCAACAATATTTAATGAGCTGGAAAATAGCGCTGGCTGAGTTGAAGAATCTCCAAGTGTTGTTTACATTTTGATTTTAACTGTACATTTGATTCTGCCATTTTTTTCCATCTTTCCATTATCCTCACATGATTTTAATGCGTGTAAGGTATTTAGGGCTTAGGTGGCTTTATCAAGTTCAAATATCATGAAGTCACAGCAATAACAAATATAATTTTGAGGTGGTTTAGGTCTCTGGTACGTTGCTACATTGTAGTACATGATATCGTAATAAACACTCGTCTGCCCAGGTTGAATATGTATGTCAAGGAATAAGTTCTGTGCCCTTTTTCAAGTCGACATATAACATGCCAAATGACATATCACATCTGTGAATAGAACAGAATGCATTACAATACAAAAGAACACGGCATTACGGCAGAGCACCTTCAAATTAAACAAAGTCACTTGGCGGATGTTTGGGGCCCTTTCGCCAGAGTTGAAGGAGTAAAACCGATGGTGGGAAATCCGCGACCAAACGTAAACACATGTTCAAGCATAGCTGAGGTGTGCCTCAGAAATCTAAGGCTTGCTCGTAATCGATTGCTGAACAGAGAGAGTATAGTATACCATACGAACACGGCATTTAAAGATCGCTTCATACCGTGGGGCACAAAACTAAACGGAGAATGTCCCTATTTTCCACACCTGTCAGGGTAATTCATTTTACGGATCAAAATCAACCAGGGTCTTTGTCAAAGCTAGTTAGCATACCCACAGCTAAAATTGGTAGCCACACGCAAAGACCTAAGTTCAGCGGTGTCACGTTGGCATTATTTTCACAACATACCGGATTTATTGCTATCCATCCCACGATTAAATTGCAGTTCAGTCATCGCGTGAGCATATCGGAGATGCTCCTACGTATCACCGGCCGAATGCGAGCACAATTTAACTTCCCATGCGACTGTGGACGCTTGTCATTTCCTGGATCTCGATCACTTGGGACCCATCACGCCCCGCCCCGCCACGCCCCTTCGTACGTAACCCCACACCGCACGCTAAATTTGTGTAATAATATACTGTGCAGTGTAGACAGTAAAACGTCATCAACATGGAATCCACACATTTAACGACAAGCCCTTAATAATTCTTTCATGAACCATCACGTGCTATTAGCAAGTGTTTGATAATGCAATTCTGTGCGAGTCCTCAGTGGTATCAACTCAACCCAATTTATCTTATTTTCAATTTATTATTTGATTTTGTTCAGACAACACTTTAGGGGTTAGAATAGATCACAAGAGCGCAATTTCACTCCCCATTCACTAGATGGTGGCAAAAAAAAAGAACCACGGGAGAAGGGTCCCAGCTATAGTTGGGGCATTCATGTCGACCAATCGCAAATAATTTCGCAAAACATACTGGGTAATTTTTTTTTCTCCTCTCTTGGCGATTTTACTCGGCTGTTATGCTAATCCCTGTCAGAAAGTAAGGGGAAAAAGTGGTGAATCGATGAGAGATCATGTCAGACACGATTGACTGTGTAGCGTGAAGTATTTGTCATTTATATCGCCAATGTAGTTGTCTTAAAAGAAGCCTTGTGTCAGGCCGGTTTACTGTGTAGTTGACATTTACCCTTGCATATTGTTCAGTTCGCTAGTATTGCAAAAACAGTTATGAAATAGCGGCCATGCTACACGAAGTTTTTTGTGGTGATGCTTCGACTGGTGGTGGTGTTTTGTCTGCCGCTGTCTCCGGCGGGGATCTGCAAACGCTACAGAATGTGTGGCTATGAGTATGAATGGTTGTTTGTCTGTTTGTCCCCTGCAATTGGCTGGTAACCAGTTCAGGGTGTACTCCGCCTATTGCTTGAAGACAGCTGGGAGAGGCTCCAGCATGCCCATGGCCCTTCTGAGGGTAACCGGATCAGTTTAAGGATGGATGGATGGATTTATTCTCATGAGGACACTGTTGCAAGACTGCAAAAAAGTCATGAGAAGTCGTTCAAATGACACACGGGTGTGCTCATTTTAACTCACTTTCAACAGACACTGCTTAGCCACTCCCGCTACAGAGCTACAGCACCACAAATATAAAGAAGTAAATAAGACACGCCTCATCTGAGCTGCGTACCTACAGCCAAGAAGTGAAGACGTCACCGCACTCTGTGTGTGTGGATGGCAAGAAAGCGAAAAGACCAAGGACGCTGGCACATTGTGCTGCATCCAGTTGCATATCTTTGTCCATCTCCACAGAATTCCGACAACGGAACCGGGAATAACCTGCGACCATAAAATTTACATCTTTCTTTTGTTTTTTTTATGCAACGAATTGGTCGCACACGTTTTGTTATTAAAAAAGACAATCTCACAAGAATCGGTTGAGAAATTATCAAGTTATAATTTACTTTCAATGCCTATGTATTGTCTTTGATAGGAGAGTCGCCCCTGCCATCATGGCCGCCACGTAGGGACGGTGATTCTCCGAGCCGCTACAGGGCGCTGCCATACTGCCATACGTGTTCATCTGTGCCAACCGCCGTTAAACACCATCGAGGAAGAAGCAGAACAGAAGAAGAAGAAGAAGAAGAAGAAGAAGAAGAAGAAGAAGAAGAAGAAGAAGAAGAAGAAGAAGAAGAAGAAGAAGAAGAAGAAGAAGAAGAAGAAGAAGAAGGAGAAGGAGAAGGAGAAGGAGAAGGAGAAGGAGAAGGAGAAGGAGAAGGAGAACGACGACCAATAGAAAGTTGACAGGAGAGCTGTTCATTGCAGTCCAACAGAATGTGTGGAAAAGTTTTATTTTCGTTGCTTATCCTTTTCATATTCTACCATGACTCCATTGACGCACAGAAGAAGAAAGAGGTATTGTGGTTTCTTTTTATCAATGCGGAGTGGGACGTATTCATAAAATATATGAGACGGTTTCGTGTGATTTCTGACTTCACAGGCATGGTTCCTGTATTGAGCAGTTAGGCTAACAGTCAACAGACAACAACTAACGTCCTGATTATTTATGTAGACGAGATGTACACAACAACCTCCCAAACACACACACACACACACACACACACACACACACACACACACACACACACACACACACACACACGGACATAGAGAGGGGTGTTGGGAGAGCACA